GGGGCCTCCTCATCTAATTCTAGTCACCCTAACACAGCTGATAAGTTAGGGTGGCCACAACAGGCTTTGGGTCCCTGCAGAGTGGGTCTTGGCACCACCGTGTTGCTGTGAAGAGCAGTCCCTGTCCCCTAACAAGGTGGAATCTACACACAGTCCCCTTCTTCACACCTCCTGGTGCTACCCCCACCTCCCACAGTGAAGTGGTTCATCATACCCACATATATTTGCTTGCTAACACCTGATTAGGTATGCCCTCATGTTCCTCCTCCTGGGTCCCATGAATGTGACTTGACCCTCTTCTCCTGTTTTGAACTAGTGGCATTTGTCCTGGTCAACAAGCTTCTGACCCTCTTGCTCTGTCTGCTCACTCTGATGCCAGGCCTCCAGCACCATCTCTCTCTCCTTCACAAGCAGCCTTTTCCAGTTCAGCCTCCATAGCTCTGGACCTATCACCATTGCCACTATGTCTGCTGAATCATCTGTGGCACCGTCTGCTTGGTGACCTGCATGCCCTGTAGGAGAAGGGATCCTGGTTTGGAGTGTGTCCATGTCCATCCTTCCTCCAGGCATGGGAGTGCAGCAGTGCCATCAACGCCATCTGTCTCTCCTTCACAAGCAGTCTTCACTCCAGCCTCCACAGCTCTGGGCTTCTCACCATCACCATTACATCTTATTGACCATCTTGGCAACTGTCTGTGGCACCATCTCTTTGGTTACCTGTCTACCCTCTAGGAGGGGAAAAAAGGGATCTAGTCTTGCCCCTGGCTTGGAGTAGGTGCACCATCCATCCCATGATATATGTATGGAGTGTGGCCACCAATTCCAATTTTTCTGATCAGCAGAAGCCAGACCTCACTGTGCACACAGGCTCAGAATCTGCTCTTTCCTGAGCTGTTCCTAATTCATATTTGGCAACTATTTTTACCCAAGGCAATTAAAAGATCTGCTCCTGGCTTTCAGACTAACAGCAGAAGTGAAGTCCCTTGCAAAAGTGTTTTTAAAAGCTTCTTATACTACTACACTGATCCCAAGCACTGCCACCATTCTGCCGTAGATCCGGTCAGACACCCCTTTGCTGGCCACCCACCAGGCTACGGTGAAGGGAGTTTAAGACTCTGTCCCTGGATTCCAATCTTCTAGAGCCTAAATGGAGTCCAGCCACTGCCCCAATTTTGAGGTCCCTAGGCACACTCTCAGAGCACAGACCTTCCATCTAGCATCCCCTTCTGAGAGCTGGAACCCACTGCCCAGCTGCCTACCTCCTCTGGGCAAGTCACTGCCTCTCCCATACTTAAGTACACCCTCTCCCAAAACTCCACCCCAAAGGTGCGACGCATCTGGTTTAGTTTAACTCTCTTAAGAGGCAACGTAGTAGTTGTAAGCATTCAGCACAAACTGGCAATTTGCCTAGTATCTAAGGCTACATCTACGCTACAAGCTAGGGGTGTGGTTTTCAGCTTGTGTATGTATACTCAGGCTAGCGCTCATGAACTAGTGTGAGTATAGATAGTAGCATAGCCACGATAGCATGGGCAGTGGAGGTACAGCTTGGCATGGCTAAGCTGTATTGCTACTGTCACTGCCATGCTACTGTGGCTATTTATATACACTACTATTTATACTCACACTAGCTAGCATAAGTCTGCGGACGTGAGCTGTGAGTCACACCCCAGCTTGTAGCATAGCCATAGCCCAATGCAACTGCTCTTAATCATATAAAGGGCAAGAGAGTACACGTCTACAAAACAAAACTCTGTACGTGCCTTTCCCTTAATTTCCTCACCACTCCAGAACATTCTTTGGGCTTGTGTCAGAGTTCCTTGGAGCCGTCTCTGTCCAGTTTCACTGCTTCATGCAGGCAGTCACATGTTGGATGGCTTCTCCCTCAGAGAGTCCTTCCCATTTTCTGTGACTTTGCTGTCTCCTCCTGCCCAATGCTTCCTCTTCCAATCTGACTTCTGTTCTTTTGTGTTTTGCTTATTTAAACCCCTCCTACTCAGCTGCTTTCTTTGTTCTGGTAGCTGCCCACTGTTTAAAAAAAAAAAAACACCACCACAACCCTCCCCTGAAATGGAGGAGGGGAGTAGCTTTTCCCTTGGGATGCAGTTTCTCTTTTGCATAACTTTTGCCCCATCATTAGCCTTAAATACCTTCCTTTTGTCCTCCGTAGTGGTGGATCCTCATAAAGTGAAGCGTTCATGATGTAGCAGTTTTTAATAAGAACATTTCATAATCCATAATGTCAACAAATTCAAAAGTTGGATGGATTCCCAAATTATCATGTTTTGTCCATGCTTACCCTTTGTGTGTGTTTTGTCTGTGACAAAATATACCTTCATATAGAGAATCCCTCATGCAAATAAACTGAATGACAAAGGCACCTCATTGCACCTAACTCAAGCTTACCAAATTTTTGCTTTGCTAATTTTAGCTTTCACCTTATACACTTCCTAAATGCTTTAGCCCCTGTCACCAAATTAATCATTTAGTTCTGGGTTGTGACGTTAATAGGCAAAAGTATCCACTTTGCGCTGTTGTAACAATCATGTTATATGTATGAAATTACTGGAACCTCAACTTCTTTCATATTGTTAAAACAACTAGGAGTCCTTGTGGCACCTTAGAGTCGCACAGATTTATTTGGGCATAAGCTTTCATGGGATATAACCCATTTCATCAGATGCATGGAGTGGAAAATACAATAAGCAGGTGTAAATATATAGCACATGAAAAGATGGGAGTTGCATTATCAAGTGGGGGGGTCGGTGTTAACGAGGCCAATTCAATCAAAGTGAATGTGACCCATTCCCAGCAGTTGACGAGAAGGTGTGAGTATTAAGAGAGGGGAAATTACTTTTTGTAGTGACTCAGCCACTCCCAGTCTCTATTCAGGCCTAATTTGATGGTGTTAAGAATTGTCGAGTCAAGAATTGTAACATTCAAAAACCAGTAGGAGAGCACTTCAGTTTTCCTGGACACTCAATAACAGACTTAAGTCGCCATTCTTCAACAAAAAAACTTCAAAAACAGACTTCAATGAGAAACTGCAGAACTGGAATTAATTTGCAAACTTGACACCACCAAATTAGGCCTGATTAAAGATCCCTTATTGTCAACTGTTTGGAATGGGCTACATCCACCTAATGGAATTGGCCTCGTTAGCACTGACCCCCCCCCCCACTTGCTAAGGCAACTCTCATCTTTTCATGTGCTGTATATTTATACCTGCTTATTGTATTTTCCACTCCATGCATCTGATGAAGTGGGTTATATCCCACAAAAGCTTATGCCCAAATAAATTTGTTAGTCTCTAAGGTGCCACAAGGACTCCTCATTGTTTTTACTGATACAGACTAACACGGCTACCCCTCTGAAACCTTGCATATCGTAATCTTCAGCTAGGCATATGTATATAACAATATGTAATGTTGAGCTGTAATTGTCACATGACCTTATATTTACCTTGTTAAAAATCTATGATTAGTCCTAGAACTGTAGTTTCTTAAAACACAATTAAGAATCACTAGTTGTTTAACTATCCTTGTTTAAATTGGGATTACTTTCAAGTGTATTATCCTATTTTATCATTTTTTATTTACCAGTAGTTTGAGACTCTTGATATTAAGTTGAATCATAGTTTTGTAACCTAGTTTTACTTTAATTAAATTTACATTTGGTTTTCAGGTACTATGTTCGTAAGTATGTTTATTGAATTGTTGCTGTTTCTTAACCATTAGTCTCTCTCAATGGGAAACACATACATTTGATAGGTTTAGTGTTCCAAGGAGTAATTTATTTAAATAGTGTTGATTTTCGTGGCTGTTTGAACTCACTTCTGTGATACTATTCCTTTGACATAGTTAATAGAATTTTATTTTGATTTTCTTTCGGTTTAGAATGTCATACTTAAAGTTGCTTTTCAAGCATTAATACCTTGTATCATTCATTTATTTACTTTTCTTTTTATGTGTTGTAACTTATTTGCATATTCATTCTTGACTGATTAATTTTTGGTTTTCTTTTTGTCATCGTAATTCTGAAACATTTTTCTTTATTTCAAAATCAAGTTTAGTTATTGATTTACATGGCATCCCCCAGTTCATGAAAGAGAACTCTTGGTGGTAAATAGTCGGACTACCCTCTGAGTTTAGTACAATGAAATTATTAATTGCTATTCATCTTTTGAAAGTTTTTTTTTTCTGAATAAATTGCATGAGAAACAATTAGGTAGTAATTCCATCTATTTAATTCTTATTTCTCCCAGGTATCAATTTTGATAATTTGGTTTGTGTTTCTTTTACTAATTTTAAGATAAAATTACTTGGTGCTTACACCCTTTCACCCCCATAATTGCTAGGATTTCTTTCACTTTTAATATACTTTACAAAAACCTTATTTTTTATATATAATATAATTAATTAAAAAAAACCTGTAGGGCAATGCCTACAGTGTTCCACAACATCAGTATTATACTTCCATCAGTTTTATTAATCAAATCATGTTTTTAAAATTCTCATGATTGCTTTATATTTTTAACACTAATGCTCAAAGATGAGTTTAGAAAGTCCATGAAATGTAATTAAATACAATATCCTAGTTTATTTTATGTGTCCAACATAATATTTAGTCATTGTTATATTGCGATATTTATTTTAATGTTTTGCTCTGCTTTGGAGGGATGAGTGAGGCCAGTGGTTTTGTAAATTAGAACAACTCAGGGTAGCTACATGTCCAGAGTTTTAAAGAAATCTCCAAGCTATGAGGCATCATATAAAATATGTAATTTGTTAGAAGCCTGATTGTGTGCATATATTTCAGAGCCATCATACACAGTTCATTCATTGAAATTATAAGGAATTCAAAGATTCAGATACAATAACATATAAATTTGGCGGAATGAGCATCTTGCCATTATGTTTGATGCAGAAATATCGACATGATTGTAATGTGTGTGACTCATATTTTTTATTCCTTTATAATTCTCATTTATTTTTACTCAGGTATGTTCTGTAGAACAAATTTCCAAACCAGACGAGAATGACAAAACAGATTCCAAAACAAAAAATGCAAAGAAAGCGTTAACCATTTTTAAAGGACCGTTATTACATATAAGGTAATAGTGTTCAATGGTAATTTTGTTTGCTTTGTTGCATTGTATATCACTCACTTAAAATTAATTTAATCAGTTTAAAACCACAAAAACTGAAATCAAGAGTTAAGTGATTTGACTAATCTTTAATTAATTTTTTGTCTTCTAAAAATTCTTACTTTGTCTGATATGAAATCTTCTCAGACTTGTTTGTTTTCCATTCAACAATTCTAAGTATCTGTAGCATACTATATTTATCTCTGTGGATGAACACCTTCAGTGATCCTTAATTTTTCCACATAGATCAAAAGTTATTTTTTGGTTGTTTTTTTCAGTGCCATGTCTGTGCCTGGCACTAATTGACAGTCTAATGGCTTAACTGTATCAGCAAAGTGACCAGTTTAACTAATTTTTAAATGATCTAGTTAGACCAATGTAAACTCCATAAACTTAAACTAGTTTAACCCTTGCTTAAAATTGCCTAGCTTAAGTAAGATAACCAGGTTGATTTTTAAAACATATTTAATTTGATTCCATTTTAGTTTCTGATTTAAGTTAAAACCAAATATAAACAAGGGTTAAAGTAGTGTATGTCTATGTTAAGATTTTGTACCAATTAAACTAGATCAATTTAGTTAACTGGTGCAACTTTTCTAATGTAGACAACAGACATGCTGGCCACCGCTTCCTGCAGCTCCCATTGCCCGGGAACGGTGAACTGCAGCCACTGGGAGCTGTGGTGGACTGTGCCTGCGGATGGTCAATGTAAACAAAATGTCTCGCAGCCCGCCAGCAGATTACCCTAATGGGCCGCGTGCCAAAGGTTGCCAACCCCTGGTATGAGGGGTGGGTAGAGGGATAAAGTAGCTTTGAGGGAGAAGGGGTCAAAACAAGCTAAATTACTGTTAAGAAATTGGAGGGAAGAAAGGAACACTGACCATGATTACTTAACATGACCCTCACTTTTCAGAAAAAAATGGTCAGGAAAAGGAATACAACAACACTTTTATATGCACCTTTAAATGATTTTTTTTTAAACTAATATTTTCTTTTGCCAGTTCTCTTCCTTCCATTACTCATCTTTTTCTTACTTGGCTCATGCATTTGCCCTGCTTTCTCTATTCAAGAAGAATGTCAAATTCCAGAATGATGATACCAGTGTCATATAATTTTGAAAGAGGCATAACCAACTTTTTTCCAATTACATGAGAGTATCAAGGAAGGGGAGAGACAAACCTTTAGTTCCTAGTGCACGCGCGCACACAAAACACTTACACCTTTTACTGTTACCAGCTCTGGATTCTATCAAATTTAAATATGCTGCAGAATATTGTGGCAGCTTGCCTGTGGATAACTTAATTTATGGTGACTCTAACTGGTGGATAGAAAGCACTTTTTTTTAATAAACTCAAATTTGTGTTATGATAAATGATTTAGAAAGATTATTTGTGTTAAAAATAGTGGATTGCTCAATGAAAATTGTATGATCCAATTTTTAATTTATTTTCAATTAGTCCGGCAGAAGAGCTGTTTTTTGGATCCAAAGAAATTGGAGAGAAAAAATGCTTGATAGTTCTCACAAATGTGACTAAAAATGTAGTGGCCTTTAAGGTAAATATTATTTGTGTCTATACATTGTTTTGTTTTGCTGTCCACATTCTTTTCATTTGTACAGAAATATAAATTTGTTGTGGCAGATTTTGTGCAAAGTCCCAAATCTTTCATGGAATAAAGGTCAAATGAGATAATTAACAGTAAAAATAATGAAAGGGTGGGGTCCTTACACATATTTGGGTGTCCAGCCATTGCTGGATCTCCCCTCTCTCCCCCTTATTCCAGGAACAAGTCATCAGCACTTTGTGATCAACTATGTCAAAGCTGCTGAAAAATCCATTCCCCATTAGCTCACCTTCAGAGGAATAAGTGCAGTCTCTGTTTCATGTTCAACTCAGTAGCCGTATTTTTAGGGCTGCAGGAAATTTAAATGAATTTAGGTGTGCATAGACTTGGTTTACCACCACTTTGTACATGTTCTCTGCATATATACATGATTCAGGTTTCAAAGTTGTCAAACTAGCAACTTTCACAAGTATTACGTTCAGTATTTTTGTTTGTTTTAGTGTTGTTTATATAAAAAAAGAGAGAAGAAATCAGTCTTTGCCAAATAGCGAAGGACAAAACTGATATTATTACCAAAAGATGGAATAATGAAGACAATAGATTTAAAGAACAAAAACACACCCCACACCCCTTTCTAAGACTACTCCCAAAAAAGAAAGGGGTGTGGAGTGTGATTTTGTTTTTTAAATCTATTGTCTTCATTATTCCATCTTTTGGTAATAATAGAGGTCTGATAACATTTTAGGAACACCAAACCCTGTCTCTTCTCCTTTTTTGTAAATTAGCAGTAACAGAACTGGTAGGCGGAATGTGTTTAAATTCTGACATACACCATATGCTTGTTTTTATTTTTAGGTGAGAACAACTGCTCCTGACAAGTATAGAGTTAAACCAAGTAATAGTAGCTGTGAACCTGGTACATCAATAGACATAGTTGTATCCCTCCATGGTGGTAAGTAAAAACTCATAGGACACAATTTTCAAACAAGTCTACAGGAGGTACATGCACAATTAACAGCTCTTCTTTGAATTGGCCTCTATATATACTCAATTGTGGGACACACCTCCTGGCACCATGAGCTTTGGGGCCTGCTAGAAGAGCAGTGGACTAACCATGGAGATTTGCTAAACATAACAAGGCACTCAAACGGCATTTTTTTTCTCCTTGGTACTGCTGTAGTATCACAGTTGACACTGCTTCATTATCCAAGTTTTTTTGCTGCTAAAATTGAGTGGGCCCATGTTCGGTTATCTGCAAGAATGGCTGAAAGCTGTTTTAAACTGTTGCAGTAGTCCCTAGTGAAGGATTTAAAATAAGCATCATATTTAGAGATGTATATTGAGGCGATTTGGTTTGAATTATTTTCTTCATCCAGTAGAGAAGTGTTCTGTTAATCACTAATGCAATTAACAGTAGTCCTGTCTTTTTACCAAAGTGCCAGGATTTTGAGTGTAAAACAATGAAAATGAGGTTGGCTTCTGGAGAAGTTGAAGAAACACATACAATTTATTTCATTCAGTACAGATAACAATGCTAATATTTCGTCCATGTAATTTGTAATTATACTGAAATTGTACTGCTTACTGATATTTGATGGAAAAGAAAAAATTCAAATGTTGAGTTATGGAAGTAAAGTGTAAGTAATTTGGGGAATACATTTCTATAAAGAGCAGTTGCATCTTTCTGCCTGGTTAGCTCTTTTATAATGAAATAATATGGAATTTTTTAACAAATTTTAGAGAGGAATGTTTAGCATGAGTGAATACTAAATTCATTCTTTATATTTCCCATAAGATATTGCCAGACATGTCTCCAAATGAGTTCTCATTTAAAATATTCCTAATTAAAAATGCATCACTGTTTAATTTTCTTTTTAATCTCAAAGGGTCCACATGTTGAAATAATTTTGTTAAGGGTAATTGTCAAATTATACCATAAATCCACTGAAGTGGTTGTTAGCTTGTTGTCTTATGCCTCTATTGCTATCCAGCTGCTTTTTTACAAATTTTACCAAATGCAACAAGTCCATTTTGTGAAACAACAGCAACAAATACGTTTTGGATTGTTCATTAGCACAGATTGGTTGTTGCATTTTAACTAAATAGTCTCCATTTGGAAAATTTTAATTCCTACAGTTTAATGTGTTTTCTCCTTTATTCCTGTGTGACTTCACCATTTTTTGATACCTGTTGTAGTTGCAGTATACCTACCTTCTTCGAGTGATAGTCCCTATGTGTATTCCACATGTGGGTACGCATGCATGCCATGCGCCTGAGTCCGGAAATGTTTCTCAGCAGTGTCCGTTGACCTACACGTGCATAGTGAGTCTCTTTGTGGCTCCCAGGTGAGGATAAGTAGTAGTGTCGGTTGATGCCTCTCCAGTTCCCACTCACCTCTGCATGGCCTCAGTCAGAAGCCCTGTTCCTTCACGCTCTTAGTCTACTAAGAGAGTGATTTTACTTTGTATATAGTATGTAAATAATTTCATTAGTATAGGTAGATAAATTAACTTGTAGTACTAGGCAAAGCTGAGAGCTGCTTAATGAGGCTTTGATCTCCAAGCTCTTTAGCACCCAACAACCCTTAACCGTGGGTGGGGCTACTCAGGAAGACATCCCTTAGGGGAGTATCTATTAATGAAGATTCTCTATGTCCTAGTAAGGAGTAGAGGATTGAAGATGATAAAATACGGGTAGGATCTGATGAGAAACAGTCATATGAAAAAGAGTTCCATTCAATTACATCAGGTAATGTCAGACAGCTAAAAAGTGACAAGTTTTTAAAGAGCTTTTATACAAATGTTAAAGAAGTCTAAATAATAAGATGGGTGAACCAGAGTGCCTCATATTAAATGAAGATATTGGTATAATAGGCATCACAGAAAGTTGGTGGAATGAGGATAATCAATGGGACACAGTAATACCAGGGTACAAAATATATCAGAAGGACAGAACAGGTCATGCTGGTAGCGGAGTGGCACTATGTGAAAGAAAGCGTAGAATCAAATGAAGTAAAAATCTTAAATGAACCAAACTTTACCATACAACCTCTATGGATAGTGATTCCATGCTCTAATAATAAGAATATAGCAGTAGGGACCTATTACCGACCTGACCAGGATGGTGATAGTGACTGTGAAATACTCAGGGAGATTAGAGAGGCTATAAAAATAAAAAACACAATAATAATGGGGACAAGTATCAGGAATGGGGAATTTCAACTATCCCCATATTGACTCGGTATATGTCCCCTCAGGACGGGATGCAAAAATAAAGTTTCTTCACACCTTAAGTGACTGCTTCTTGGAGAAGCTAGTTCTGGAATCCACAAGAGGCGAGGCAATTCTTGATTTAGTCCTAAGTGGAGCACAGGATCTGGTCCAAGAGGTGAATATAGCTGGACTGCTTGGTAATAGTGACCATAATATAATTAAATTTAACATCCCTGTGGCGGGGAAAACACCACAGCAGCCCAACACTAGCATTTAATTTCAGAAAGGGGGACTACACAATAATAAGCAAGTTAGTAAAACAGAAATTAAAAGGTACAGCGCCAAAAGTGAAATCCCTGCAAGCTGCATGGAAACTTTTTTAAGAAACCATAATAGAGGCTCAACTTAAATATGTACCCCCAAATTAAAAAAACATAGTAAGAGAACCAAAAAAGTGCCACCATGGCTAAACAACAAAGTAAAAGAAGCAGTGAGAGGCAAAAAGGCATCCTTTAAAAAATGGAAGTTCAAATCCTAGTGAGGAAAATAGAAAGGCGCATAAACTCTGATAAATGAAGTGTAAAAATATAATTAGGAAGGCCAAAAAAAGAACAGCTAGCCAAAGACTCAAAAAGTGATAGCAAAAATTTTTTTTAAGTACATCAGAAGTAGGAAGCCTGCTAAACAACCAGTGGAGCCATTGGACAATCAAGATACTAAAGGAGCACTCAAGACGATAAGGCCATTGCGGAGAAACTAAATGATTTCTTTGCATTGGTCCTCACGGCTAAGGATGTGAGGGAGATTCCCAAACCTAAGACATTCTTTTTAGGTGAAAAATCTGAGGAACTGACTCAGATTGAGGTGTCATTAGAGGAGGTTTTGGAACAAATTGATAAACTAAACAATACTAAGTCACCAGGACCAGATGATATTCACCCAAGAGTTCTGAAGGAACTCAAATATGAAATTGCACAACTACTAACTGTAATTTGTAACATATCATTTAAATCAACTTCTGTACCAAATGACTGGAGGATAGCTAATGTGACACCAATTTTTAAAACGGGCTCCAGAGGTGATCCCAGCAATTACAAGCTGGTAAGCCTGACGTGAAGAACAAAATTGTCAGACATATAGATGAACGTGATTTGTTGGGGAAGAGTCAACATGGTTTTTGTAAAGGGAAATCATGCCTCACCAATCTACTAGAATTCTTTGAGGGGGTCAACAAGCATGTGGACAAGGGGGATCCAGAGGATATAGTGTACTTAGATTTTCAGAAAGCCTGAGACAAGGTGCCTCACCAAAGGCTTTTACGCAAAATAAGCTGTCATGGGATAAGAGGGAAGGTCCTCTCATGGATTGGTAACTGGTTAAAAGATAGGAAACAAAGGATAGGAATAAATGGTCAGTTTTCAGAATGGAGAGAGGTAAATAATGGTGTCCCCCCAGGGGTCTGTACTGTTCAAGATATTCATAAATGATCTGGGAAAAGGGGTAAACAGTGAGGTGGCAAAATTTGCAGATGATACAAAACTATTCAAGATAGTTAAGTCCCAAGGAGACTGCAAAGAGGTATCACAAAACTGGGTGACCGGTCAAGAAAATAGCAGATAAAATTCAATGTTCAGGGGGGAGGAATAGCTCAGTGGTTTGAGCATTGGCCTGCTCAACCCAGGGTTATAAATTCAATCCTTGAGGAGGCCATTTAGGGATCTGGTACTTGGTCCTGCTAGTGAAGGAAGTGGGGACTGGACTCAATGACCTTTCAAGGTCCCTTCCAGTTCTATGAGATAGGTATATCTCCATATATAATCTTGATAAATGCAAAGTAATGCACACTGGAAAACATCCCAACTATACATATAAAACAATGGGGTCTGAATTAGCTGTTACCACTCAAGAAAGAGATCTTGGAGTCATTGTGGATAGTTCTCTGAAAACATCCACTCAATGTGCAGCAGCAGTCAAAAAAGCGAACAGAATGTTGGGAATCATTAAGAAAGGGATAGTTAATAAGACAGAAAAGATCATATTGCCGCTCTATAAATCCATTGTGGGCATACATCTTGAATACTGTGTGCAGATGTGGTTGCCTCATCTCAAAAGATGTATTAGAATTGGAAAAGGTTCAGAAAAGGGCAAAAAAAAATTATTAGGGGTGTGGAACGGCTTCCATATGAGGAGACATTAATAAGACTGGGAATTTTCAGCTTGGAAAAGAGGCGACTAAGGAAGGGATATGATTGAGGTTTATAAAATCAGAGAGAGGTGTGGAGAAAGTAAATAAGAAAGTGTTATTTACTCCTTCTCATAACACGAACTAGGGATCACCAAATGAAATTAATAGGCAGCAGGTTTAAAACAAACAAAAGGAAGTATTTTTTCACACAACATACAGTCAGCCTGTGGAACTCTTTGCCAGAGGATGTTGTGAAGGCCAAGACTATAACAGGGTTCAAAAAAGAACTAGATATATTCATGGAGGATAGGTCCATCAATGGTTATTAGCCAGGATGGGCAGGGATGGAGTCCCTAGTCTGTTTGCCAGAAGCTGGGAATAGGTGACAGGGGATGGATCACTTGATGATTACCTGTTCTGTTCATTCCCTCTGGGGCACCTGGCATTGGCCACTGTCGGAAGGCTGGATACTGGGCTAGATGGACCTTTGGTCTGACCCAGTATGGCCATTCTTATGTTCTTATGTAGTGTAGTTAATATAGTAGTTCTCTTCCCTGTTTAGGAACCGTATCCCCCTCCACCCTGCCTTGGGAACTATCCCCAGGATCCCAGGCTTCAAAAACTGTGTCTCCTACCCACACTCCATCTGTGTGAGTGTCAAGTCTCTACTGCCTGGATGAGGCACACACCGTAGCATGCTGTGCTGTCTGTAAGTCCTTCCTGCCCAGGACCAGGAAGCCCACAAGCTCCGCCTCCGCAAATATAAGAACATAAAAAAGGCCCTACCGGGTCAGACCAAAGGTCCATCTAGCCCAGTATCCTGTCTGCCGACAATGGCCAATGCCAGGTGCCCCAGAGGGAGCGAACCTAACAGGCAATGATCAAGTGATCTCTCTCCTGCCATCCATCTCCACCCTCTGACAGACAGAGGTTAGGGGGACCATTCCTTACCTGTCCTGGCTAATAGCCATTAATGGGCTTAACCACCATGAATTTATCCAGTTCTCTTTTAAACTCTGTTATAGTCCTAGCCTTCACAACCTCCTCAGGTAAGGAGTTCCACAAGTTGACTGTGCGCTGCGTGAAGAAGAACTTCCTTTTATTTGTTTTAAACCTGCTGCCTGAAGAGTCCTAGCCTCTTTAATCACTCCTCATATGGGACCCATTCCAAACCCTTAATCATTTTAGTTGCCCTTTTCTGAACCTTATGAATATCTTATGGAGGAGGCCATGCAGCCCCAGGCTCACTGAGATCCCGGCCCTGGAGGCCCCCACACGCGCACACACACCTGGTACAGCGGCTACCATCGGCAGTGAGTGCCCCCACCAGCCACAGTGCCTGCCTCAGAGCTCCATAGGCTAAGGACAAATCCTGATATAAGGGCAAAAAGCTCTGACAAGCACAAGAACCAGGTCTCTGCAAAGGACTGCTCCCAAGCTCAGTGTTTCCAACTCAAGCCGAGTCGGGGAAGATGTCATGTGTAGATCCGGCTGGATCAGCACCCAAGATACCCCATATGCAAGGCAAGGCCAGGCACCAACGGGATCCAATGGTACCAACGGTCACCCGGACACCCAAACATCTGGAACACTCACCGGCATGCCAACACCACTCATCCCTCTGTGTTTATGCACTGTATCACTGTCCACTTCATGAAAGGATTATTCAGCACCTTTCCACTAGTGTTGAAGCCCACACCCTCATGTGCCCTTAATCTCATTCTCTTTGCCCTCACAAGGCCACCCTTTGAACCAATGGCCACATACTCTTTCTCCCACTTCTCAATGAAAGTGGCATTCTTGGTAGCCATAACCTGACCAGACAAGTCAATGAGCTTGCAGCCATGATAGCAGACACCCCCCCCCACACACACACACACAAGATATTCCACAAGGACAAGATGTCCTTACGGCTGCACCCCAATTCCTTCTAAAAGTGGTATCTGAGTGCCACCTCAATCAGTCCATCCACTTGCCAGTATTCTGCCCGAAGCCACACGCCTCCCCACTGACAAGGCCCCGCACTCCCTTGATGTCTGATGCACACTGGTGTCCCTCCACAGTACTGGACCATTTCAAAAATCACTTAAACTATTGGTGGCCGTTGCCAAAAGGTCAAAGGCACAAGCCCTCTCATCCCAGCCCATCTCCAAATGGGTCTTGGAGCTCATCCTCAAATGCTACAAACACTCCAGCTATCTCCTCCAGGCAGGGTCGTGGTTCATTCTACATGGGCGCAAGTTGCCTTCTCAGCCTCACTGGCAATGTGTCCTGGCAAGACATCTCTCGAACTGTGAGGTAGGGTTCTGTCCACACTTTCACGGCACACTACACCATAACACAAGTGGCAGTGATAGACATGGCCGTGGGCAATGCCATACTACAGACCGCAGTGCCATTAGTATCCTCACACCCAGCTCTGTGTTGATCATTGCTCGCAAGACACCCACGTGTGGAATACACTTAAGGACCATCACTCAAAGAAGAGACGGTTACTTATCTGTAACTGGAGGTTCTTTGAGTTGTGTGGTCCCTCTCTGTAGTCCACTGCCCTCCCTCCATCCCCTCTGCTTTGAACTGGATTTTGTAATGGTAAAAGGGAAACTGGAATGGCGTCGACCCGCACTCCATATTATACCCTCGTCTTGGGAGCCACTAGGAGACTCCCTATGCACATGCAGGTCAATGGACACTGCTAAGAAACACTTCTGGACTCAGGTGCGTGGCGAGCATGCACACTTGTGTGTGACATACACACAGGAACCACACATCTCGAAGAACTTCCAGTTACAGGTGAGTAACCACCTCTTTCTAGAATTTGTGCTGTTCTGTTAAAATTACTTAAACCGCACAGTTCACATCTTCCTTAGTAACTAACATTACTTTTTAATTTCCTTCCTAGAGAGGTAGAAGTGGTGTTTTAGTGTATACATACAATCTCTGCTAAATTTATTGTTTTGGATTTTTTGGTTGAGGGTAGGTTTTGCCGCTTCCCTGCAGGACCGTTTCCTGATAATGGCAGCAGAAATGGACCAGGCTTCTGGAGCAGGCGTACCAGAATTAGCTCAGTTTTGGAAAGAAGTCCCTAGAAACAAAGTGATGGAACATAGGTAAGCATATAGTTGGCTTAAAGGCTTTCTTATGTGGGTTTTGTATTCTAATTTCTTGTATTTGTGCATTATCACCAGTATTAAAGATTCTACAAGTTGAATTATGCTCTTGGTGACCCCTGTTCATCCCCATTGCCTGCAGTGGGTTTTACAGGTAAAATTGATTGGGACTTAGTTTGTTATTGATGCATAAACTGTAATAGAACTGAACTCTCACACTGTTAAGTGTTAACATGAATACGCAGCAGTAGGACAAATTATTTTTGTAACAAAAGTGAACAGATGTTACTGCATAGACAGAGTAGATATGCTGAGTAAGAAAGTGCTATTTTTATAAAATCTCCTTTTAGATTAGAACTGCAGTTCAACATTCTCTTGATAGTGGGTTTTTGGGTTTTTTTTTGAGGGAGGGCAGGGTGGTATAATTTCTTAGGTGTTTTCTAAAAAGCAAATAGTTAGAAGAATTAGGTAATATAGAAATTTTCTAGCCAACGCTAGAATGCTCTTTTCCCCCATCAGACATGCACTGGTAGAAATGTCTCCTGCAGAGCCACCAGACCCGCTTTACTGAGCGTATATCTTAATCCATGATGCAAAGCTTCTCCAGAACTCCACTTTATTTCATGCACACCTTAATTACCTTTACTAACAACTGCTCTTCTACATATTTTTGAAAAAATATGTTATGAGTAACATAACATACACTTCCACGTAGAACTTTCAGAATTTAGCTATATCCAAATCAGTTTTCACCAGGACAACAAAAAGCATATCTCATAACATTAATTCTCTAGTAGAAAACAGAGCTGGAAAATTTCATCCTACAGTGTGAATGTTGGAAAAAGTTAACAGCAATTAAAGTAAAGTCTGGAGGATGGAAGCACTTGGCTTCAATAAAACTGGCAAGTTTGTTAGGGCATTACAAACTAAGATCTCTCTTCATTATATGTTTCCCCTCTCTTTACTGAAATTCATGTTTTACTAAATTGCTTCTTTGTGTTTAATTAAATCTGTTTTTCCAGCTCATGTATGTTTGAGATGTGAATGTTGAACCTAACCATGTAATTCAAAATGATACATAGATTCTCATAAGAGAATATCTTATGATAATTAAGCAGTTCGTAAATGCAACCATTAGGTAAATTTTCTGTTGCTATGTCATTCAATAAACTTATTCTTTCTGGAAAATATAAAAGCAGTGTCACTTCTCAAGGAATTGTGGGATTATTTCTCACATTTTAGCTGCTTTTTTTCAAAATACAAATCGTGTAAGGGTAGATTCTTCCAAAATCCCCAAAGAAAATAATAAAGTTCTATATAGGAAAACATGACACAATTTTTAGATCATTTTTGTTTACACATTCTGGAAAGGTAAACTGTGTGCATTTGCACATCGAATTTGTAAAATGTAAATAAATGCTTTCTTGTTTAGACACTGTTATTTTGTTAGGGTAGGCCATTGAGCAATAGTGAGAAATTGCTTGACTTTATTAAAGCTGCCACAACTGCCTTCAAGGGATACTTGACTAATAAACCAATACAAATGAATGCACCAGGAAGCAAGATGTTCTGCAATGTGCTTGATCCAGGAATGTGGCATGTAGATTTATACAGTGCTGACCTTTTCGTTTTCAAGGAAACCTATATCAAGTGCAGTAGAGCATGTCATTATTGCCCACCTAAAGTCATGCATTGTTGTTTGAATATTTATAGACCAGATGAATAGCTCCATCTTGCTAAGTCCTCTCCCAGAGGAAGCCAGTTAGCATTTTGTTTTTTCAAAAACAAGTTATTCCAAAGCATTCTGTCCTTTTTATTCTGCTTTATTCTTCTCTCAAAAGTTTTAGTATTTCCATTCTTCTCACTTAAGAAGACTGAAAGTCTCATGATAAGCTCATCTCCCCCCTCCCACCCCCCCAAGAAAATAAATGCATCCATCTCTTCTCTAATGGGCTTAAATGTTTCCAAATTGGTTCCTGCTGTGTTTTTATAAAATGCTTTAATTTTCAATATCATGTGTGACATTAAATGCATGCACTGGTTATTTTTTCTCAAGTAACTTTTTTCTAATCTTGTTATTGTAAACGATGTCTTGAAGCTGGTAACTAAGTATATTTAGGCATGCTTTGAAATTCTGTTTCTGCTTTCTCTGAATATTTTATACTTAACATAAATGAAACAAAATTTCTTTGGTATTGAATCTTGGGTTATAATCAGCTATATAGTGTATGTAACAGTAAGATTAAAAGCATAAAGGTAAGTGATATATTCTGAGGCAGTGGTTCTCAACCTGTGGCCTATGGGCAACTTGCGGCCCAATCAGCATACAGCTGCCGTCCATGTGACAGCCTCAGGGCCACACCTGTAGTGTGCATATATAAATAATTGTGTGGCTGCAGCCCAAATAACACATAAAGAGTTGCAAATGTGGTCAACCCAACAATGGTAAATAGATTGAGAACCACTGTTGTAAGAAGCAACAGAGGGTCCTGTGG